AGTCTTCTTAGTAGCTTAATGGAGATGTGCTTGCACATAAGTTTTAAAACAAAATAAATGTGCTTGTAGACAGGGGGAGAAAGAAACGTATACACCACATGTCATTTGAATTATAGGTCCTAGTGGCGCTGGATTTGACTTTCATAGATCGGGGAATAGACTCGTTCTGTAGTGATTTAACATGTCCATTCTCACAAATTTAAGGTTTTGAGTCTTGCTTGCATGTAATTAGTGGCACTGTTCGCATATGAGTCACACATACAATTTACTCCATCTGAACTTGATCTATGTATGGAGCGGTGTTCCTACTCGTTGAGCATGTCATATTTGTGATCAAATGCATTTTTTGGTGGACACACGTGTTGAAGTGCATGATAGATTTTCGTAAATTTTTTTTTTAAAAAAAAGGTGCTAAAATTCAGAATTTTCAAAGTGCTAAGATTCTATATTTTCAAAAACTGGTGCTATTTATGTCAATTGGGTCTCTCCAACTTGACTCTGGACCATCGTTCGAGAGTTCAATGCAGAACCAGTGTCACTCGTTTAACACTCAATTATCACTTGAGTGACGATCCGTCTATTTGAATTCTCATAGAACATTGAAAACTCATTTTTTTTCGAATCTCTTCCATTTTCTCTCGCACTTCTTCTCACCCAAGGCATTTTTGGTGGATTCTTGCATCAATTGATATGAGAAACTCCTTCCTAAAGCCTAATTCCATGGGTTACTCACATTTTTGTCTTAATCACCGTAAGTTACTTGCGAACCCTACTTTCCATCCTATTTGGGAATTTTAATTTGTAACTTGGTTTTGATTTAATTCATTCATTTCATTTGCATAATTGTGTACTTGTGTTGTGCATTTCACAATTTTTGATTCCTCCTTATCACTCATTCGTATCATTTGGGTTTTTTCACTCGCATGTGTTTCTCGCTTTTGCTATTAGTTGTGAATTTTTTTCCTTTTTTCCTCACATTATTGAAGGAGAATGGGTTAGGTTTAGATGCGAGATTATTAAATTGTTGATTGGTCTATGTGGTGTGGCTTTGAATGGATTGGGTTTTCCTAGTTTGCCTGAAATTTCACATGCATCCAACGTGTTCGAGAATTTGCTTCATCCACGAGTTTCATCACTGTTTGCCACACCCTTGCACAAATTATTCTAGCATGATGTTGTGACTGTGTCAGAGAGCTTAAGTCACATTTTTGGTTTGCATTTCGTTGGTTTTGATGTTGATGCAATGTCATGTTGTTTTGTTCCCATCGTCCTATTGTCGTGATACCTACGTCTAGGCCGTGTCCCTGTATTTTGTCATCACATCAATTCATGTCATGGCTCCTGCGTCCATACACTGCATGCCATTCGGTTGTACCTCATGTCACCTTAATTTGTCTTGACGTTCTTATGTGTGCGTTGGAACGTGTTTGCATGATTTTGCTTGTTTGGTCCGTTTTTGGCTAGGTATATGTTTTTACATCGTTTTGCTTGCTTAGCATAGTTTTGTATCATTTTATGTGCTTTTCAAAGTTTTGCATCATTTTTGCATGTTGTTTGCCTGGGTTTCACATATATTCATGCATATCAGGTTTTAGATGGCCTATGAGTCTTTACATATTTATTTTGCTTATGTGTTCCAGATTGTACCTAAGCGAGCACGGACTGCTACATAGCCTGCTAGTGGGTAGACCTCATATAGCCATTCTAGGTTTGTCTCTTCTACAACTCAGAATATGTTTGGGACTCAGTCTCATTACGTCCTGTTCTTGTTGAGTGTGAGGCCACTCTTTCAGATCTTCCCCTGACCTTACTGCTATTTTCACCTCTAGGGGTTTGGAGCCACTGTTCGCAGTGCTGAATTCCCCGCCTAGTCTCCTAGTCTAGGAGTTCTATATGAACATCCATGACAATAGCGGGTCGTCGTTTGGGGTTTTTCTTAGGGGTCAGACGATTAAGATCACTCCTGATGTTATTTCTAGCATCATTCACGTTCCCCGAATCATTCACTCGATTTTTGCATACTTGTCGATCGACATTCTCTTGGCTGATTCTCTTATTAAGTCGACTTTATTTAACAGTCCACTGGGAAGTGGACCGCATGCGATTCGTATTGGATCACTTCCTACTGATTGATAGATTTTGTTGCTCATTGTGTGCACAAATATGTGGCCAGTTTCTCATACTTCTTCATAGCCTATGGAGAATGTGAGATTCATTTATGCCCTTTTACATAATGATTCCATAGATCTGTAAACTTTCGTTTGTCACCATATATTGTGTATCTTTAGGGTTCCAGGTCATAGGATTGGTCTTCTCCTATGCTTACCTAATTCGCCATCTAGTGACATTTCTCGAGGCTTCATTTCCTGATGGGGTCTCCCGATGGATACTTCATCCCATTCACCATACTACTTTATCGCTGAGTCGGTCATATGTCCCTTCTTCTTCGTCTCTTGCTGAGCCAGTTGTGCCTGCGATCCTCTTTTAGGTGATCCCCTAGACATTCCTCTATCCCACCTTGATATTCTTCCTTTAGCTACTGATATTCTATCATCCTTTACTTTTGTTCCACCACCTACTCAGCCTGCTCCCACAACTATTTCTGTTAGGACTAGACATGGTCTGGTTCGATTCTAACGAGAACGGAATAGGATAAATTTTTTTTGGGTATTTAGTAAATGGAACTTTTCGGTCAAAATTTAATTATGAAACTGTCCGGGTTCGGTTCAGTTCGATTTAATTTGGTTCGATTTGGTTCCATTCGATTTTCAGGTTCCGTATTATAAATAAAGTTTTAATATTTACAAAGTTACAATAATTCAACTAATGATATATTCAATTTTAGCTCTTACAAAAAAGGTAATCCAATCTCATGTGTCTTTTGCGTTTTTGAGTTCTTTATAGATTTGATTGTTAAAATCATAGAAAGAGGAAGACATCGAGCTCACAATAATTAAGAGAGGTATTGTCTAGTCTTAATTCGATTTTTCTAGAACGGTAGAAACGTCACTATGGTAGAGTAACATATTTTGATAAAACTTAGATCAATTTAATTTTTGGGTTTGAACTAAAAATTAGAAACGGCCTCAAGTTGGCTTTGAATTGAAAATTAAAAATAGAAAAATCATATTTTTGGGTTTGAGCTAAATTAACTAGTTATCAAATTTATTTAGAAAAAATAAAATAATTTGACTTATTTAAAATAAATTAATTAAAAAATTAGGGAGACTCGATTCTCATTTGGTTCTTCGGTTCTTAATTTAGAATCAAAACCAAATCGAACCGAACCCATCTGTTTTCGATTCGGATACCCATTCGGATATTTAACTTAAGAAGAACTGTTCGATTCAGTTTGAGAGTTTTGTCCAACCTTAGCTCCTGTTGATCCTTCTGTTGCTGTTATGGGTCAGATGTCTATCTTGATTAAATAGCAGGCTCGCATGATGGTCGAGATTACTCAGTTGCGAGCTGCTTCGAGGAGCTATACTGTGTAGTTTGCTACATTGCGAGAAGCCATCGCTTATGTACAGCACGGGATTCAATAGATGTGCAAGCACTATGACTATGATGGCGATGATGATGATTCTAATGAGGAGGACAATGGAAATGGCGGTATTCTATAGTTGTTAGGGATTTCCTTATCATTTGTGACAAAAATGAGGAATAGTTGTATAGCTTTGACATGTGATGTTTGACATTTGACATACGCTTGTGCTAGATTAAAAGTTTTGATGTCTCAGAATATTGATGTATATTTTTGGTATTTTGACTTATCTTGATATTGTATCTTAATCTAGCTTGTTCATATTCTCATATAATATTGTGTCTATTGATGACTGTCTTTACTGCTTCTACTTACATTATTGTTTCTCATACTTTTACACTTGGTGTGTGAGTTGTGATTTCAAGAAACAACTTTAATGAAGACGAAGCAAAAGTCAGTGAGTCAGCTATTTTGGGTAGTCAGTGTAGTTATTGTTAATGTATTGAATGTTTTGTCATAGAATGCCAAAATGAGAGTTTGTTAGGTTTGGAGTTGGCAATTCTGTGAACAAAAGGGTCTATTTGTAAATGTATTGAAAGTCAAGGGCAATTTGTAAATATTTAAAAAGCAAGGACTACGACATAAATTTGTAAGAGTATGTTAGGATTTGAGTTGTGAAAAAGGGGAAGAAGAGTCACCAAAATTTTGCTAATTGCTCGCCAAAAGATTGCTCACGTATAAAAAATAGAGATCGAGTGAAACAGTGTTGCTCGATTTTCGCTGCATTGTCGCTCGAGTGACAGTATATTCTAGAGAAACCATATTTAGTGTTTTTTGAGATTTTAACCTAGCTTAAACTACCCAAAACATTTCATATATATTCTAGTGCGTCGTTTTCTTACGTCTTCAGGGGATTGAACATTGAGAACACATTCTATACCTTTTCATCTTGAATCAATCCCACTTTCTTGTTAGTGCACTCACAAAAATCAAAATCCACACCCATCAAACACTAAAACTTGTCCTTCCAGAGCATCTGTCAAGATATGAAGATCAAGAAAGGAGATCAGAGTTTCGATCGTTGGAGAACAGGGAGTTCTCGAGAATCCAAAGGAGATAGATGAAATCAAGAGCTGAGAGTTGGTACAGGAACACTCATTCCAAGAGGGCTTTATGGAATTTCAATCAGAAGGTCAATAAAACTAGTGTTGGTTTAGTCTGACAGTACTATAAGTTGATTTTCATTTATAGTAGATTCATACTGGCTTAGGCCAGAAGTTTTTAATCCCGCAAAGGGTTTTTTCTATCATCAAATTGTTTGTGTTCTTTATTTTTCTACAATTTACTACCTACGGCAATTAAACATAGGATAATATGTATGTGAATTGATCTGGATAAAATTAATAACTATGACTTGTTACAATTATTAAGTAATTGGATTAAATTCCGCATAAATACCTATTCAGCTCCCTCTAGGTGTTATTTGGGTCAAATCACGTTCTTTAATGCTTGATAAAAAAAATGAAAAAACATAAATTCTTAGAAAAAGTGGGTGCACACTATATACCATTTAGTTATAGACACTTCAATAAATAGATAAAAGAAAGGAATGAATAAGTAGTGAAAGTAAAACAAAATGAAACCTAGCGAAAAGATAGAACATCTGAGAGAGAGAGATTGCGTCCTCTTTACATTATCACACTTGATTGATTTTAAAATATTTAGCATAGAAGTCCCACTAGGTAGAACAATCTCCCTACCCCGATCCTCGTACATCTCAATCAAACGTGAATCCCCTTTAGAGTACTTCAACATCAGATCTAAGGATATGTCAACTTGTAGAGGATATTGGAAGAAATTAGGATATGAAATTTTGATTCCAAGGATAATGGTTAATGGGGATCATGTTCTATCTCCACAAACAATTCAATGAAATTCAATTTGTAATAGATATTTATAATGTGAGGCTTACAATATTATTGACTAGTTTTTGTATTATATTGCAACAACATATCTTTGGCGATCATCACTCTCTAATGATGGCGAACTGAGCTTACCGATAATCTCTCTTACTTAAGCTTCCAACATTTCAATTGCACTCCTAAAACCAGAAAAAAGAAAAAAAATATTCATACTCCAAGCACATCTATCTCCAGATACACACTTAAGTATATTGGCAATGAATGTTACCATCATCGAATCATTCATCAAATAATCTAGAAAGATGAAAATTTAAGAAAGGAAAGAAGTACAAGACAACATTAGATGCTAACATTTCTATGACAAAGCAACACGTTCAACTTAAATTTTGTAATTTGATAAAATATTAATGAAAATAGTCATAAGAAACATGACATACAAGTCATATAAATTTGTGTGCTTCCTAAGTAATGGTGGAATATTCCCAACAAGCAGTTTATCATTCAGTTCCTTGTTAAGCAAAAAAACACTTTAGTACGATGATATGATATAATTCATGATCCATAAAAATAAAAAGCCCATACATGGCTTTGGAAGCCAAAGTAGAAGCTAAGTGCTCATTATCATCCTACAGATGTCTCACATAAATGACCACTTAGGACACAACTATGCAGGTCAATGCAGAATTGAATTGAAAAGAAGACTAATAGTAACTTCCAAATCGTGGAGCTTTGTCCATTGGGTTATTGTTTTTCCATAGTGTAAATTTCAAAAAGTAAAAATTCTATAGTTAATAAATCAAAACAATTGAAATATATCACTAAAATTGACTCCATTTCAAAATTCCTAATTTATTTTTCCCCTAATCGTTTTAGCTTCAAATTGAACCATATAGTACGATTCAAATTTACCAATTAAGTAAAACTATAATTTAGCTACAGAAGACAATTTGTTAAGCAGAAATGGGCAAATTATGACATCCAAAATAGGAGAAAGGCAATATATATAATAAATACACAAACCATTCAGCTATGTAAGCATGAATTTATATGTATTTAATATCTACTCACAAGAGTTGGGCGTAGTCAAAGGGGTGGATGGAGCTGCTCGTCATTGCACGTGTGGTCGTAGAACGGAGAAAGGGAAAAGTAATCAAACACCAAATTTCAATATAGTAGATAAGTGTTAATCATCATCGCGAAACAAAGATCATAGGATGTACCTAAAAAAAAAAAAAGGATGAAAAGGAATTATCTCTACAATATAACAATGCTTAATATTGTGATCGTTAATCGGAAATCACCAAACTAATACTAATACATGAATTCAAACATCAAGAAGCCAAAAATAATTTCTGATGTAAATTTCTTTACCAAGAAAATAGTGTTTTCTTTCGAAAATTCGTAATTTGTAATGCAACAAAGAAGCATTAACATATATCTTTAGCTTGAATTTGATAAATTTATAAATGATTTATTTATCAAAGAATTTCTTAAACTGATTATTTTCTACTAAAGCTAAATATGTTGAAACATATTCATAATCAGATCAATATGGAACCATAAGAAAGTTCATTAGATTCAAAAAAATCTTTTAAACCCTCCACAATATGAATTAAATACACAAGAATAAGAGATTACTTCATACCAAAAAAGTTCAATTTTTTCATCAAATCAACAAAAAACCAGGAAAAAGGATAAAAAAAAAATCATATATGAAATTACCTTGGGAGGTTCTAGAGGTAAAACATCCCAACCCAAACCTGGCATCTTCCTCGGCCATCAATCCATTGTCAACTCCGTTACACTTTCCATCTCCATTACAGATCAATAAAAACTTTGCGATTTAAAATTATCCAGAGAGAGCTTGAATAACTCAATTATCACACTATCAGAAAAGAATGAAAAAAGTCTAAAACTCAAAAGGATGTATGCTGCAAGAAATATGTTTTCATAAGCGTCATGAGACAGAAGCCTTCAAGGCCGAACACTCGAACCATATTTGATGTATTGAGGAACTGCAATATCACCATGACACGACGTTAATGCCAAGAAATTAGATGGAGTACATACCTTCTATTATAATGGGAGTCAAATTACTCATTCAAACAGAGAAATTACCCATCAGAGAAGCAAAATAATAATAATAATAATAATGATGATGATGATGATGATGATGATGATGATGATGATGAAGTTGTAGTACGATTTTCACAAAAAAAGAGGCAAAAAAGGCAGCTTCAAATGAATTTTCACGGAGGGTTTGGCTGACCACAGAGAGATAAAATGAAAATGGAAAAGTCAAAGAGAACAAAAAGTGTCTAGAGCAAGAAATGAAGAGAAGAAAGGAAAAAACGGAAACGTGGAGAATGGAGGAAAAGAGCATGAGAGTTAGAGTGAAAATATGGAGAAATAGTAATAGAGTAAAGAGAAATGGTTAAAAAATATGATGTTTACATGACATAACATATGACACTTATGAATAGTGGCAGGCAAGTTTCTCTCTTTGTAAGGAAATAAAATTCTAATACTAATTCATATACATACATATGATATCAGCATGAGGTAAGGATGATACTTTATGAATAGTAACCAACTCTCCTCTTTTGTATATTGTAGTGATATAGAATCCATGGCTTTGAGATGTAATTCTGAGAAGAGGAAATTGGATTCTCAAATAGAAGATAGAAATTTGAGACGAAACAAGAGAAAAATGATACGGAAATTGAAGGCGATTTAGTTGCAAATATCATTGAATCATTGAGTTTAAGATGGATTATTATTTTCCATTGATTACAAAAAAAGGAATAGAGACACACATGTAGAGAGAGAGAGAGAGAGAGAGAAAATGTGGATAGTTGGCACTTGGCAATTTTATGATCATTTATTTATTATTAGGTTTAGTTCCTTTCAAATATTATTAGTAATAAGCACGTGCGATGCACGTCTTATGTACGTAATAGATGACATGCATAATATTTTTGAAGTACTAACACTATTTTTGAAAATAGTTAAAGTAATCGATATTTTTAAAGTAAAAAATTAAAATTATTTAAAAATATAATGTGAAAATTTTGAATAAAGCAAAATATAATGTTTTGATTACAATAACACTTTTTTACACATGATATATATTTTTTGCTTTTACAATGTTGTTTACACTGAAACTCTGCGAGAAAGTGCAACAAATAGTTGCCTTCGGTAAGTTGATGGAATTGTCCTCTATGTCAGACTGCTCTATTACTAGTTTGGATCAACTATTGTGCAAAACGGTTGTCATTTTGAGCATGCATATTTTAATTTAGTTGCAACTTTTTCATTTTCTCCCAAAAATACGATCTAATCAAATTTTGGTTAATTGCTTGTTGTCTTGTTGCTCTTCAAACGATGTGGAGTCCTTAACAAAAATCTCCTCAGAATACAAAAACTTTTTCACCAAATGATTTTGCATGGTCCAAAATATCTATGAAGTTTTATTAATGATTTCTATTCTATTTTTGTTGACCAATGGTGCTTCAATTAAATAAATATATGGTTTTCAAAACTATACAACTCATAAAACATTCCAAAAACAAAATCTGGTCCAAGAGTAACCATTGATGACGTCATAATGAAAAAATTAATAGTTTAATCTGCTTTATAAATGCTATGGGTTTATATGACTTTTCTCCTTATTTCTCTATCCTTTATTTTGATGTTGTCTGGGCCACATAGATCAAAAATGGAAAGTTTAATCCTTTGTTTCCATGTGTCGACGGGATCGGCTAATAACTTATCCCATCTCAAAAATGCAAAAAACAAGCAATTATAGGAAAGTAAAAAAAAAAAAAAAAAAAGCTTTTAAATTTGTTTTTAAAAAAAAAATGGAATTATAGGAAACCCATATATAGTAAGCCAAAGCCCATTCTTATTGTGTAAAATTTTCCAAACTCACAATGTTCAAGTGCTTATTCAAGCACATGGTATGTTTTACTGTTATCATTTTTCAATCAATAAACAATGCAAAGATGGACGAAAATATTAAACACTTGAAGCCAACCAATTTCAAATATTTTGAAATGTTTTTAGAACTGTGCAACATACTTAGCTAATTCAAATAATAACTGAATAGTGATAAGGACATCATTTTTATTTATTTATTTCTAGTTGGACTTTATTTATGTTTTAGATTCTATTTATGTAATTGGGCTTGTATTGGCCCAAACCTATTCTAGGTAGGGTTTTGTCTTCACTATTTAAATCTAATTTTCTATGTAATTTCATTAGTTGATGAATATGAATTATTGAGATTGGTTGTGGCGTCTCCTTCCTCTCCCTTCCCCTCTCCTCTTGAATTTATGCTGCTTCTCCGATTTCTTTCCCCCTTCTCTCTGATTTTTCCCTCTCTTTCTTGCTTTCCTCTTATTTGTCTTATATCAAATTTGGTATCAGAGTCAAATCTTGGGTAATTTCTCTCCTACAATTCAAAATCTCTTCATATTTCCTTCCCAAAAAAAAAAAAAATGTTGGAATAGCACAATTGAAGAAGATTTAGCATAAGAGCAGCTGTTTTCATTTTTTTCAGTTTTCTTTCTTTGAAAAAAAAAAAAGAGCATTACTGTTCATGAGTACTGTTCACCCGAAAAAAAGGTTCCATTTTAGTACTTTCATCAGTTAAAAAAAAAGAGAGAGAGAAAATATTCTTTTACGTTATTGTTGCTCTACTGCTACTTCCAACAAACCCTTACCCATTTATTTAATCCAAAATTGACCATCCCATAACCTAGCCCATTATTTGTCAAAACACTTGAACCATAAACTATTGGCCCAAATTAATCCATTACCAATTTTCTTTCTTCCCCAACAAGACAACAACCCATTTCTAGCCCACATTCCAATCCACCATGGTAGAAGCCCGTCCAATATGATTTTCCCCTAACCCAAATTGACCCAACGTCTTCTCACTGTCTACCTCGAGTCTTCTTCCCTTTCATCGACTTGTCTGCCATCATTAGCGCCTCTCCACTCTTGTAATCGCACCCACGCCGACGCCATCCACGCCAGCGACGCCCCTTTCCAGCACCGTCGGCATCATCGGTGTTTCTCTCGCATATACTCATCGCCTTCTGCTACCAATAACTGCAACATATTCCACTTTCACTCGTCCCGCACCTCCATCGACCCTCAACAACTACTGCAGTCGGCCAATCTCTTCACCAGCACCACAATTGCACTTTGGTTTCTGCCTCGGTCACTCCATATCCTGTTGTCTCTGTTTTCGTCCACCTACTACTGTCGCCAGGTGATTTGGAGTTAACAGGTGGTTCTTCCGCACATTTGTTTGTTATAGCATCAGGTTCAAGTTCCCGTGGGCATCGCCACTGTAACTAAATAACAAGGAGTCCTTGTTCTTTGTTTATTGTTGGTCTATCCTACTGTTCATTTTTATGTTACCTTTGTAATTTTAGCCTTAAACCCTACTTGATCGGACTATTGAACGAATTGACTTCTTATTGTTCCCCACTTATCAACGTGATTGAAGAATTTGATTAGAGTTTGACCGTTGTTTTGCTATTTTACATGTATCAACAGTATTAGCTTACAACATTTAAATTTGCTTAATCCCCATAAAAAAAAAGATTTAAAAAAAATACTCAAGTTGTTATTTTTCATTGCTTGCACTTAATTTTCATTGATCTCACCATTGCATGTCATTTAGCTAATATTACTTTTTATGTAGTTGCGTAGTGGTCGTCTTGTCGCCTTTTTTTTTAGTACATTGACCATGGACCCATCCCACTTTGATGTACTCACTAGATAATTAGCTCAACTTGCCACTAGCCAACAACACTTACAAAGTCATTTAGTGGCTATCCAAATCAAGATGGCTACTACTCGTAAAAGAGCAGAGATTTAGTTGCTAGTTTGGACAATTTTAAGCAAATCCCTCGTTCGAGCGATGTTAATAATTTTGAAGTGTCCCATAATAGACAATATCGTCATCGACAAGATGATAAAAAATATTTTCAACACGATCGTAGGAATAGGGATCAGGTTCATGAGCGAGAACGGTGCCATGGTCGTAGTCATTCTCTCCCTTGTCATAAGGAGCGTTTTTTTGGAGACATTAAACTAGACATTCCTACGTTTGATGGTTGCTTAGACCATGAAATTTTTACTCAATAGAACACCCTTACACAAGGAAATCGGTTAGTAACTGAGTACATTGCTCAATTTGAGGGATTTCAAATGAAATGTCATGTCGTTAAGGATGAGGCCTTGGCCTTGAGAAGGTTTAAACAAGGTCTAAGTGATGAACTTAGGCATGAGCTTTTCTTTCAAGGCGTCAATGCACTTGATCACGCTTATTCTTTAGCCCGCGACTATGAGTTGATTATTAATACTCCATATGAAAGGCTATCACCATTGTTCACCCGACTCATTAGCGCCACCTCATCATAAGTCTATCATAGAATCTTTCCCGTTTAGTGTTCCTTCCATTTGGAAAATAAGTGTACAGGTTGTGATAGTTTAGGCCTTTTTTTCCATATAGAAAGTGTATTGACAATCATTCTTCTATTTCATTGGCTCCATTTCCTCTCGTTAAATCCCTTCTAGGACCTCCGCCATCCAATGTTCCTCTAATCTTGGAAAATAAGGCTAAAATTTCTGAAATTCCAAGGACTTCTTCTCACTTGCTATGCATAAGCTATAAGGACTTTGGCCACATCTCTTCCAAATGTCCTAGCCGAGCCTTAACCATGGGAGAACGAAAAAAATATAATAGATGAGTCATTAAACAATATAGTCTATGAACCTAAACTTGAAGATTTAGATGACTTGGATGATAATGAGACGCCTTATTAGGTAGTAACTGAACTTTTCCTATGACTCTAGGTGTTGTACCTCTTGTTCTCGATACCACTCAGTCAAGCATTGTGTGTCGTACCTTTATCCAACCCAAAGGTACTGATTATTTGCGTAATCCTGCTTGGAATTTGATCCTCCCAACTGTTCAAATTGCATAAAACAATTTTATGAATTGCTCTATAGGTGTAAGTCATTTTGAAGTTGTTCCTTATTATAAGTCTAGGAAACCGTTAGACCTTATTTCCATGTTCTCACATAGTAGTGTGTCAATCTTTGCTGGAGCATTTGTACATTATCTCCAAGACTTGCATATTGAGATCAATAAACAACTTGATACAAGTAATGCATTATATAAACTTCAAGCTGATTTGAATAAATGACATTTTGAATTTACTATTGGGAATTATGTTATAT